TTGTGAAGGAGAAATCAGGAGGAGAATTAATCTTGGCAGAACAGCCATGGCAAATCTCACCAAGATAATGAAAGATAAAGACATTTCCATTCATACTAAGAAAAGAATTGTAGAAGCAATGGTTTTCCCTGTAACATTATATGGCTGTGAAAGCTGGACTCTAAGGAAAAAGGAAAGAAAAATGATAGATGCATTCGAATTATGGGTATGGAGAAGATTACTTAGAGTTCCATGGACAGAAAAGAAAACAAATATCTCAATTTTAGAAAAAATTAAGCCAAGCTTCTCCTTAGAGTCAAGAATCTTAAAACAAAAATTGACCTACTTTGGACATGTGATGCGTAAAGAAGTTTCCCTACAGAAGACTATTATGCTGGGAAAAGTGGAAGATAGAAGGAAGAGGGGAAGGCAACGGATAAGATGGATAGAAGAAATCGAGAAAGTCACAGAAATGAGGCTGGAGGAGCTACTAGAGACAACAAGGGAAAGATCAAGATGGAGAAGACTTGTCCATGAAGTCACCAGGAGTCGACGACGACTTGATGGAACTTAACAACAACATTTTTATTTTTATTTTCTATAAATTAATTATTTTTTAATTTCCGCATTTTTATGCATTAAATCACTATCTTAAATTACTAAAAGCATTAATTTAAACCATGATTAATATTGAGATATAATTTCTTAATTTTTATTGATAAACATTCTTGTTCAATAATTTCAATTAAAATATATTATTAAAGATATAAGTTCAAAAATTATAAATAAAAATTATTATTTTCATCATTATTATTTATTTAATTCAATTGTGTGGGAATCCGGGATTAAGACAGGGTTATTTCTTACCCGTATTTGGCGTCTTATCCGAAAGATCTGCCCACAATATTGTAAGGTAGCCGACCCGGTGGAGATAGGGGACTTGAAAATCCACTCCTCGGTACCTGTGTAAGGTTGCCGTCTTTTAGGTGGGATCAGTTAATCCCGCGTCAGGATGAACCTAAGGGAAGGTTGCATGTGGGATGCGGCGGAGGAGGCAAATTATGACAAGTGTTTTACAAAAGAAAGCCGTTTATTTGGTAAATTTATGCTTACATCGACAATTGACAGTCCTTCTCTATAGTCATTCGGAGAGGCGAGAACTTCGGCGTCGGTCATAGCCCCGGGGCGGACGAGATGAGATCGCTGGGCGAAGTGGATGATCGGTGAGAGGGTGCTGCGGAGTTCTAAATTGTTGGCGGCGACACAACACAATACAGATCACGACTTTTTGAAGAATACAGAGGAGACTCTCCTTTCGGCCTTGAATTTCTGATTTTTATAGTTTTTCTCCCACTATTCGTATTTCCGATTGGTCTCTCGTTCCCTTCCTCGCTTTCCGATTGGTCTCTCTTTTGTTTCGGGCGAAAACCGAGACCGACTCGGGTCAAAGAGAAAGGTCCGATTCCAGGTGTTTATTCGACGCCTTTTTTGTCGATTGCGCTTGGAGATTGTTGACAAAATCGCAAGACTCGCGCTCATAATTTAGCCCCGTTACTTATGATTTCTGTCATCTGGGTACTTTAACGATCATATGCGATGATTTATATCTCTTAAATCTTTCCCCCTTTTCCGAAATTGTTTCTTTCCTAGATTGATTATTTGTGAGCGCTTGAGTCAAAGTTCTACCTGTTTTTGAGCACTTGTGTCTGAGTTATAACTTTTCATTTTGATAACTGACAGTTCGTTTAACACGTGTTGGAGTCATCCGGGACTCGTCGTTTACATTTTGTGCTGCGTTGTTTTGATTAAGGGATTTTTTTCTCTCTCTAATATTTATAGTCTATTGTTATAATTTAAACATAAGAATTCCGCGATTTACGCGATTTCGGACCTCATCTGGGACCTCACAATGTCACTGGATCGGGATTTTAGTAATATTTTATTTGGGAACAAGAAGTTCTTGTGATCTTCCTGTAGATTTTTCTTGACACGAGCCTAATTAATGCTTTAGGCACGCGAAATAATAATTTTATACTTTAGTCCGAGGGGGAGGACTCGTGGATTCGCGATAAGACTTTGGCTGATATTTGAGATCAAGAACGAGACCATTTTAACGCAATAAAAACAAAATTTAATGTAAACAAATTAAATAAATTAAAATAAAATACAAATATGTGATCTTTCATAAGGATGTTCTAAAGTCCCTATCTGGAAGCGAGAGAGAGTTTACATCAACAAAACATTCTACCTCGATTGACAAAAGGTGGTTTCGGTGCGTCAAGTGGAAATAATATCGGCCCGTCGTCGTATTTGTCTTTTTTCTTGGCAAAGTGAGGCGAAGTTCGGCAGTAGAGGAGGTGGAGCGGCGGAAGATGTCTTAGGTATAGAGCACAAAGGAAAGGGTCAACTCGTCCACGGCCAAAAACTCCCCGAATGATGGGAAATCGCCCTTTTTATGCGTAAGTTTCTTCCAATAGAAATTTGGGGTTTGTATCAGCTGACGGGACGTACTAATGAATTAGACTCCAGATATTTGTCAAAATTAGAGATAAGCTCTTGTAAAGGGAAGTTCAATTTCTCTTTTTGACATAAAAGTAACAAAATGTGTCGTCTGTTGATGTGAAAAATATGTGAAAGTAATGTACCGGTACATGTTATTAGTCTATGTTATTACTTTAACCAAATTATTATTTGGAAGGGAATTATTTTGGAAGGAAATTTATTTATTTATTGATCTATAATAATTTACGAGCGATGAATACTTTGGATTAAAGTTCTATTAATCAATTCTATAACTCTATTCGAATTCTCACAATTGTATTGATAGTCAAAAATTAAATAATTATTAAAAATAGAATCAATCTTTTCAAATATTTTATAGAAATTAATGATAAAAATTCATATTCATGTACTGTACTATATATAATTTAAATTATATAATTTTTATAGAATTATTATCAACATTCTCTTTAGATCCGAATACAAAATTTTCTGAAAAATTAAAAATCTATATTGAACTTTTCCTAGTAACGAAAGTACCGTACAGGGAAAGCTGATTTACAGGTGATGTAGAGAATACAATATATTAAGCATTAATTTTAGGATATTCAACATGATTTTCATGACTCGCCCTAATGGGCGGCCGCAGGCCCAAGTATTTAAGGTGGCAATCTACATATCGTTGGTGCATACGAATAGTGACACAAAGCAAAAATTTCCAATTTCGAGTTTATTGTAGAAATGTATAGCAAACTCCCCATATTTTTATGTGGAAGAACGAGTACTAATATTTATTTTCAAAATAGATTTAAAAATTTTAAAAATCCAAGATCATGACAAAGCCATGTAGGAAACAAGAAACTTTTAAGTGGTTGTTCTGGAAGAACTATTTTTTTGCGTTGTGTCGCTATTCTTGTGCAACAACGATATCTGGTGAATCCGGGATCGAATCCGGTCGGATCGAAAAATCTCTTAAATTTTTCGTCCGGATATGTCGGATCCATCCCCCAACACCCAACTGCCTATTTTTCTTTTCTTTTTTTAACTCTTTCCGCCAGTGGACACTAAGAGGGCCTCTTTTATCAAGCCCATTATGGATTCGGCCAGGCCCACAATGGGGCGGCCGAATGGTGAGGGATGTGGCTCGACATATCCGGACGGACCACCCCTCTGAAAAATTTCCGGAGATTTTTCGACCCGTCCCATTTGATTCCGGATCCCCCAGAGCAGTAGGCTGCCACCTTGATCGCTCGGCCATCCGGCCGTCACCCAACTGCCTAATTGTCAACCTGGCCAAATTAATAATGACCTTCTAAACAGAGGATCTTCTTAGTGCCCTAGAGCAAAAGAGTTTAGAAAATACCATTCAGCGTGTCGAAGAATACTGAAATGTTTTGAACTCAATCGCATATTATTAGAAATCTCTAATGTACTGTACTTATTAATTTTGATATAAAATAATTGATTTTTTTTCTCATAATTGTCTCATATATTTTGTGAATACAGTAAATTCATAAATTAATCCGCGTTGCAAAACAGGACTAGCAAGAAAATTAGAAGCGACACACCGCGTTCACTTTATTAAAAACATCCGTTTTTTTAAATTAAAATTTAATAAGGTTTCATTTAAAATTATATAAAAATTATTATATTATAAATATAATATAATAAAAATTTCAATAAATTATAAACATTTTAGGCTCCTTTAAAAAAATATATATATAAATATATATGTATATGTGTGCACGCGTACCAGTTCCAAAGAATGTTTGGAATCGTCTGCTAGAAAACGAATTTCGTATGCTCATATTGTTTTTATAATAATTATAAATTGTAAGATATAACGAATGATATATTTATAATTTTATCAGAAATCTCGTAAAAAGAAAAAAGTTAACAGAATTATCGAGAATTTATCAAAAACAGGTAAAATTTATGTATTTGTATGACGTTTAGGCTAATTGAAATGTATTCATTTTATAGAATTTAATTGCTTTATTTAATTTAAATATTTCGCATCATTAATTAGAATTAAGAACTGAATTAGAATTTTAGATTTTTAAAAAAATAATTGTTTATGATTGTTTTAATATATTTTAAATTTAACTTGATTCATTTTTTAGCCTATTTGAATTAAATTTTAAATTTATTCAAGAACAAATTTGTTCTAGGACTGAAGCATTTCATTTACAAACTAAATTCAAAAATTGGACTGTTCAAACATTTTTTTAAGTATTTTAAAAAGAAATTATAAATTTGTATTAATTAACATTTGCTAATAAAAAAACCTACATAATTTAAGCATACTCTTGCTAATCCAGTCTCTCAATTATCTGGCATACCTCATATGTTCTTCCATTTCCATGCAAATACTAGTCATATCATACATTCAGTTTTCCTGTTTCCTCAGGTTTCATTTCAGTGTACGGTATTGCTTGTTGACATGCCATATTATTCACCAAATCATTGCCAAAGGTCAATAGGTCACACTATTCACTGCATTTATGTAGGCTGACTATAACAATTACAATCAACTGGGGACACATTTAAGAATTGGTGAAAATGGGATCTAAAACTGATTAAACTTTGGTTATTTTTTAAAATTTATTTATTTATTGATCTATAAATTGGTGATATTATATTGGCATGTTAATAAAATTGTTCTATTCAAAGATGATTCTACAATCAAATATTAAAAACAGGCAAAATTGTCAGGGTCTGGACATCTTACTTTAGGCCTATATACTCAGTAATCTGGCTCCTTTACTAACCTGTCAGACTTCTATGCAAGGAATGGGTGGATTAACAAGAGTCTAGTGTTATGTAAATTTTATAAGTTTATTTATATTTTTTTTCTATTTTACTTTTATATGTTTAGGTCTAGAAATGGAATGTTTAATCTTTTTTAAAGAAAAGTGTAAAATCTTGTAAATTTATATTAATTTACAAGATTAATTTAAATTAATGATTATTAATTTAAAAATCTTATATAAAATTTAAATACTTATAAACTGTATTATATTTTAGCTAGGAGTTGATGAGATCCTGTTGAAAATGAGTAGTCCTCATAGATCTATAATGGAACCAACTTATATTAAACCTTTTATGTTAAATGTTAGACAGAGTCCACTGAAAGAATCATGTAGTCAGGTACATTGATGATATTTATTGAAATTCTGTGTTTTGTAAATATAATATTTACATTAAATTGTAAAATTTATATCTATATTAAGATAATTTTATTTAGCCTCTAGGGATAGCTAAACCTGTAGAAAATGAACCAAGATCTTTTGAGAGTAATCAAACTTCTCTCACTACAGGTGTGTTTATATTGTGTGTTTATATTGAATATGAAATAACTTTGTTTTGAATAAAATATTTATATTTCAGAGAGAATTGAGAAAACTATTTGTGAAAAAACTTATAGTGATGTTCGTTATGAAAATCATACAGAACATCTGTCCTCTCTCCATAGTAAACTTTACACAGAAGCAGAAATTAACATTTGCTAATAAAAAAACCTACATAATTTAAGCATACTCTTGCTAATCCAGTCTCTCAATTATCTGGCATACCTCATATGTTCTTCCATTTCCATGCAAATACTAGTCATATCATACATTCAGTTTTCCTGTTTCCTCAGGTTTCATTTCAGTGTACGGTATTGCTTGTTGACATGCCATATTATTCACCAAATCATTGCCAAAGGTCAATAGGTCACACTATTCACTGCATTTATGTAGGCTGACTATAACAATTACAATCAACTGGGGACACATTTAAGAATTGGTGAAAATGGGATCTAAAACTGATTAAACTTTGGTTATTTTTTAAAATTTATTTATTTATTGATCTATAAATTGGTGATATTATATTGGCATGTTAATAAAATTGTTCTATTCAAAGATGATTCTACAATCAAATATTAAAAACAGGCAAAATTGTCAGGGTCTGGACATCTTACTTTAGGCCTATATACTCAGTAATCTGGCTCCTTTACTAACCTGTCAGACTTCTATGCAAGGAATGGGTGGATTAACAAGAGTCTAGTGTTATGTAAATTTTATAAGTTTATTTATATTTTTTTTCTATTTTACTTTTATATGTTTAGGTCTAGAAATGGAATGTTTAATCTTTTTTAAAGAAAAGTGTAAAATCTTGTAAATTTATATTAATTTACAAGATTAATTTAAATTAATGATTATTAATTTAAAAATCTTATATAAAATTTAAATACTTATAAACTGTATTATATTTTAGCTAGGAGTTGATGAGATCCTGTTGAAAATGAGTAGTCCTCATAGATCTATAATGGAACCAACTTATATTAAACCTTTTATGTTAAATGTTAGACAGAGTCCACTGAAAGAATCATGTAGTCAGGTACATTGATGATATTTATTGAAATTCTGTGTTTTGTAAATATAATATTTACATTAAATTGTAAAATTTATATCTATATTAAGATAATTTTATTTAGCCTCTAGGGATAGCTAAACCTGTAGAAAATGAACCAAGATCTTTTGAGAGTAATCAAACTTCTCTCACTACAGGTGTGTTTATATTGTGTGTTTATATTGAATATGAAATAACTTTGTTTTGAATAAAATATTTATATTTCAGAGAGAATTGAGAAAACTATTTGTGAAAAAACTTATAGTGATGTTCGTTATGAAAATCATACAGAACATCTGTCCTCTCTCCATAGTAAACTTTACACAGAAGCAGAACGAATTAGAAAATGGAAAATTAGCACTGAAATGGATATTAAACTAAAGGTTTGTACGGTACTTATTAAAAATTATAAATTATTGTAAAAATTATTTAAATTTATTATAGATAAAAGAATTTTAATATTAGTCATTATTTATTTTTATTTGTATTGCTTAACATGTAGTAATGAAACAAAAAAAAATTCAATATAAATGTCTTATGTTATGGCTTGTTTCAATATAAAAAAGATATACATATTGATGGTTATATATATATATATATATATATGTTACCGCTAAAGCTTGAAAGCCGTTAATGTGTTCATTACCTAGCTAATCTGCAGATTAACTAGGGTGATTTGTTAAAGTTGCGAAAATTGTTCTATTTCTCAAATTATCTAGGTAATGTGCAGAGTATCTAGGTAATCTGCACATTACCTACTAGGCACTCAGTAAAGTGAAAATAAGATCTTTGCTGGAACAACAGCAATGTTTCTGTACGCTTAAATTAACATAATGTTGTTTATCCTGTAAATGTTCGTCCGATGGAGAAATATTTTTAATAAAATTGAAGACAAAACTGTCCAAAAAGGATCACCATCTAATTTTTGTGTTCCAAGACTAACACATTCTCAGCGACTGACCTTTCTTTGTAGGTTGCTTGTTGCCAGAAAATTACAAAGAGTCCTTTTAAAAAACACAAAACACATCCAATTAAAATTACAAAAATTTCTGAAAAAGGAACAGTTGTCCTGCTTACATCCATCTATACCTTCTTTTGGGGTTTTGGCTGAAAAAAAAGCAGCCAAAACATTCTTTCAGTTCTTGTGTTGTTCCTATTTTGTTTTTGTTTTTAATGCCATGTTCATCATTGTAAAATTTTGCTTCTTTACAGACACACTAAGGTGACATTATTCAACACTTGGCAGATTATTCACCACTTTATTCAGTTGGGACGCTATTTACAAGTCGCATTTCGGGCATTAGCCCCTCTTCAGCCAACTAAACATTAAAATAAAACATGAGAAAATTATACATAAATACGCGAGTAAAACATCCCGTAGATAAAACATTTTTAAAAATCTTTTAAAAACATACCTCAAAAGCACATATCACGAGCGTACAGATGTCGTACAGGATGGACAGTTTCATATTCTATATATCAAGTGGACAATAAACAGATTCGAAGATAACTGTTTGACGACAGGGCTTTCGAATATGACGTTCTTTTAGTTTATACAAATAATTCAGATAAATAAATTGAAATTTATAACATATTTTAACAATATTTGTTTTACCTGTAATCTATATTTGCATATTACACTAAAATTCACACAATAACTGTTGTCACCTTTTTTATGACGAGTTTCACACAAAGTCATCCCAGCAACACTATTTGGTCTGCTAATTTACATATATAACAGTGAACATATTTAAAGCTATTACATTAAATTGTACAAACCAATTATTAATATTTGTTTTACCTATAGTTTATATACAGACATCAAATTCACACGTTATCAGTTGTAGCTTTTCGNGTCATCCCAGCGACACTATTTGGTCTGCTAATTTACATATATAACAGTGAATATATTTAAAGCTATTACATTAAATTGTACAAACCAATTATTAATATTTGTTTTACCTATAGTTTATATACAGACATCAAATTCACACGTTATCAGTTGTAGCTTTTCGTAAAACGAGTCTAGCATACAGTTTTCACAACGACACTATTTGGTCTAGTAATTTACATATATAAGTGAGCTGATTTTTGAAACAATTTCAGTATACAATGGAAAGTCGTGTATAAACAGAAATTATTATATTAATCTTAACTTATTTTATTACTTATACATGAACTTTGAACTTTGGTGATCATCGTCATAATTATAACCAATAGTCATCAACTTAATTACAATATTTTTATCCAGTTCTCACTAATTTTAATGCTTAAGTTTTTATTTATACAATTGTTATTTTTATTTTTAATAATCTCAACACTCTCTTTAAATTTTCTGTTATATGTTTTCTTCTCTTTATGTAGAATCTGTATGTTAGTTTTATCTATATTGCAGTCGTTTAGTACACAATGATCATGGAATACTGAGGTTAATCGGTGATACTTCAAATCTAACATATGTTCTTTAACCCTTATTTTTAGTTTGCGTTTTGTTTCGCCTATATAAAAACTGTTGTTTTTACATGTACATGGTATTTTATATACAATATTTTTCGTTTCTTCTTTATTTATTTTTTGTTTTTTCATACTTTGTTTAGCCTTCAATCTGGAGAATAGATTTTCATATTTTGGAGCAAGTTTCATATTATTTTTCTTCATTTCTGTATCTATTTGCTCATACATATTTTTTATGTATGGAAAACCTACATTCAAACCTACAAGTGTTGAATAATGTCACTTTAGTGTGTCTGTAAAGAAGCAAGATAAAATCAACAACACGGTTTCATCAGAATCAAAAAAAAATTGTAAAATTTGTCAGTGCAATTCCTCTATTGTCTCTAATAAATCTAATCTATGTTTTTGTAAATGCATGCTTAATTTGTGAATGAAAATAATATTTTTTGTCATTTAGCTGTCTTATCATATCCAAAGTTGCCATGGGGGCCAAGTGGTTAGGTCCCTTGCCTCACACCACTAAGGTGTTGGGTTTGAGTGGGGAGGGAGAAGGGGGCTCGCCAATGATCCTGGTCTGGGGGCCCCACTGTAGGATGTAGGGCCATGATGCACAGTATATAGTTAAACAAAGTATTTTATTTCGTGGAATACATACAGATTCTTTTGGATTCCAACTCTCAATGGTAACTAATTACAACACGGTGGTAACAAAAATCGATGGTGGACAATGACACAAATACACGTCAATAGTAACATATAATCCTTCCTGGTACCATTTATAGTATAACTAGTACTTACAAACTAACTTAAACTAAGCGAAGAGGGAAGATAACTGGGAGAGTGATAAATGGTGAAATAGATTATAGGAAAGAATGAAATACCCAGGATGTATGGAACTTTGCACAATTTTGGTGGGAGGCCACATGGAACTTGCTCAGACTGATGGATCATCATTGTCTTCCTTTGATTTTCCTTTGTACCTATTGATACTATTTTTATTGTGACTACAATAAAATTCAAGTTTTTATCAGACTAGCACTGTTCTTCCAGTCTAGCTGCTCTTGACAACACAAAGCACCATCTTCCATGTCCATCTACTCATAGATCCAGTCCAAAGAAGAAAGGTCCCACTTCCTCTCACTCATGCCCTCAGGTCCTCTTTCTCACTTTGTTTTCTGTAGTACCACGAATTTCCTCACTATCCAAGGGAAAAGAGTTAGAAAAGAAAGTTCTAGAAGCAAGAAGGAATAAAGAACAAAGGGAAATATTCTAAAACTGAGAAAATTAATATATATAATGGTGTAATGCCACAATACCATGGTTGTTTGTTCCATCAACTACAGTTTTAGTTACCTGCAGTTTGAAAATATTAAATAAAAGGAAAAATCCGAAAACTATGCATCATGATTCATCTGTTTGTTAACTAACTTTTTTCAGTCTACAATCACATAGTTAATCATACTGTAGCATCTATAGTGTAAACGATATTCATGATTGCAGTGATACCAAAAGCATGGATAATACTGTATGGTGCTTTATATAACTTATTTTTAATTTTAATTTCTTAATATCACTATATTATTTTTAAATTAAATTGTATCTTATATTTTTATGTATTTTAAAACATATTTATAGATCTATTGTATATAATTTGATATTATCCACAGTTTCAAGTGTCCTTGGGGTGGTTTGGAACCTGTCCCATTACAGATAGGCTGTGGTTACACGCCTGTTTTTTTTTTATCATCATTATTATTAGTCTGTATAGTTTTAGTTTAATTTAAATTCTAGAATTTTCCTTCTTTCTGATTTCTTTGTTCCTTTGTCTCGGACTTCCAAGAACTCGCCTTACCCCTAACCCATTGGGGGTAGCATTAGAACAAAAGGAGAAAACGAGGCTGGAGGAAAAAAAAGAGAAATTCTTAGGCCGGACTCTGAGAGAGACAGATGAGTGGCAGTAGAGCTCTTGAACAGAAAGTCGAGGAGCGCTGCTGAAGGAGGCCATAAGAAGCGGATCGGTAGAAGAATCCGGTCGACGATTATAGAGAAAAACCTCCAAAATGGACCCGAGTTGTTCTAAGAGGAGAACAGACGAGAAAGAGAAGCCGAGACGAGGAACAGTGGAGAACCAACTGGAAAATTGGGTACCCTTCTGTCCTTTAATTCTTCTCATTTCCCCTTCTACTTTTTCTATTTTTAGTTTAAGTTAGGTTAAGGTTATGCGTGCAAATAAATTGTTGGGAGGTAGTTATTGAGAAATTAACTACCGGTCTATTGATATACCTGGTCACTCAAGATTGTGGAACCGTTTGGAGAACAGCGGGAATCTGAACCTATTCTGTATATATATTTCAAATTCAGCACAAAATTAAACTCGTTTAATTGGTAAAACGTGTATGTGTTTTCCTGTCCACGTTGAACATTTCACAAGGCTATAGCGGGAAAGCTGTACAATAATTTGAAATGCCTATAAATAGCTATTTAAAATATTTTTTTGGTATGAAAAGATGCATAGTAAAATTTTATATATAAGAATGTATCAATATATATACAAATAAATTAGACATAAATTTACATAATTATAAAGTAGTCACTCCTAAAGTTTAATTTATAATTTTTAATTCATTTTAATATATTATATTTTTATGTTTGAAAACAAATTTATTTTTTACTTTCTATGAAGGAGAAAAAATTGAATGATTCATTACAAGTGATTGAATCACAACGGAAATCATTATTAGAACTCCAGTTACAAAATGAAAGTTTAAGTCAACGTTTATCAGAGGAAATGGATAACAGACAAGAAATTCTTCAAAAGTATGATTAATATAAATATAATCTTAAATAAAATACAGAAATTATTATTGGTTTTAATTATATTTATTGACATATTTATAATTAGCTTCTCTACAAAGACCATTAATTTTTCTATTATTTTATGTAAATATGAGATTAAAGTGTTTTCTTTTAGTCTGTCAATAATAATTAGACATGTCTAATCAAACATTATATATTATATATATATATATATTTACTATACACATAATGTACATAAATGCACATACAATGTAAATTACACATAATATGTACATTTGATAATACATACAAATGCATATATAAATATTACTTTAAAAGTTATGCATAAGTATGTTTATTTTTGTAGATATGGGTTTGCATTTATGTACAGTACATTTAAATCTTACATTATGAAGGGGAATATTAATTTCTGTTTACTTATTATATATGCAAGATTGTAATATTATAAACAGAAGTTAATATTCCATTTCATAATTTCATTCATTATTTTATATTAATATTCATATATTGCAGTGGCGTGCAGTGATGTTTGATGATAGGGAACTGTGCTGGCCCTGGATAGAATCATTGGAAGCATTATACAATATTTTGGTGTATGGCATCTATGAGCTAAACTGCATGAGGTTGGTGCTCTGTAAAGCACATGCACAAATGCCTGTAATCTGGCTGCTTTACATTACATCATTCAAATATTTTTGCCATGGAAGCTGTCCCATATTCAACAATACAGTGTTTCCATTAGGAACATGCTTATACGAATTTATATTCGAATATACAATAGCAATCTTACTTGTTAGTATTTTTTTCACATGTAGTATAGAAATTTGTAATAAGATACATAATGCAGTTATAATAAAATTTTTATTTTAGTTAATTCAAAGTATGATACGTTAAAATATGAAAATAATTGCACAATATGTATTTATATTTTAGAAAATACAAGGAAAGCAGCACTTCCACAGTTTCCATGAATGGCATGCCACTGATATATTGTCATATTTATATGATGTGCATTAATCTTAGGCATCCACAGAAAATTTTTCATTGGGCAAAGTTTAGAGATAAATAATTACATCAATAAATTTTTATTTAATTTTTTCGGGTCTTTTTCCAAGTAAATTGTAGAATACAGTATTGCATCAAAGTGTGCAATGGTTAAGGGGGTTAGATTATATTTCTCAATCACCTTTACAATTATAATTTGTGGAATTTTTTACTCAATCTCAGGGAAGAACAAGTGCTCTGTTTGTCCCCTTTCCAGTTGCCCATGTGTGCAACTATCTATTGTGTATATTTCTCAAAGATTGCATAGTGTATGCTTACATTAGTTTCTGTTTATACGTTAAAAAGTTGTATATTAATTTGTTGCAAATATTTTATTCTGATTTAATTAGTGTGTGTGTTGAAAAAATTACACTTATTCTAATATAGAGGTTTAATATGATTTTTACTTATAATGGTAAACAGGTCACCATCTCAGAAAACAGAATGAAAACAAAACTAAAATTTGAAACTTAAGGGGGGATGCTGCTGAGCAGCCATCATTGTTGGTGACTTTTAGTGTTGAGTTACTGCTATTACTGATTATTACAATTATAACTTCTTTTTTGAATTGTATTAATTTATTATGCTTTTTCACCCTCTTTTATTTTGTTTTGTGTTATTACAAGTCATTTATTTTTGGATATGTTTCCTCAAACTCCACCAGATGGATTAAAGCAGAGCCAAGATGACAGAAAAGGAACTAAGCATCATCATTCTCTGAGTGCTCTGGAAGCTAAATTTCCAAAGCTAGAACATTATTTTAAGAGGGAGTCTCCTTTGGACATTGATAAAGAGGGAATGTTATCCTTACAACAGTATTTGGAATGGGGCGGTTGAGGCTTCATTCCTTACCATCTGGCTGCCTCATTGTGGGCCGGGTTGAACTTATAATGGGATTGCCTAAAAAGACAATCTAGTGCCGCTAGGGCAGTTAGGTGCTTCTCCTAGTTTTGAATCCACACTTCACCACTGCTTAAACAAAAGGATGAAAGAGGGTTTAATGTATAAAGTAATTCAGAAAATATGACTTTAGCACAATGGACATTGGATAATTTAGTTTCTGTGCATTAGAATGATACCATTATCGTCAATGAATTACAAGATGTTGTTCCATTAGACTGTTAGAAAAACTATAGAAACATTTTTTATCTAGTTATATCAATGTTGTTAATTCTAAAGATTCAATAAAGTTATATAAAGATTGTACTACACTTTTAGATTCTGTTAACCTTGCACTTTAGCAGAATGCTTCATTTCCAAATTCAAATAAGTTAAACTATTTATATGCCTTTTTTAGCAAGTTTATGTTAAAATTTCCTTACTTGTTTTTGTTCTATAATTATCTCTTGTCAGTTATCACACACATTTATTATTTATTACAAGCTATTGTATTTATTTTAAAAAGTATTCTTACATTGTTTGCATTACTTTTGTCATGTTTGTCATTGTATTGATGTATTTGAAAATTTTATTATTTTCTATAGTTTTTAATTTAAATAATGTTTTCAGTTTGATAGCTTCCTAACTGATGATTCATTTTCAAACATTTTTGAGTAAAAGGTGACGATTCAAAGCATTTATATTTTAAGAAACAAATTTGGCATCCAATTAAAAGCAAAAGCAATCTCTCTTGTAAAAAAGAGATTGCTTTTACAATGTTTTACAAAATGGTGCCAGTTTTCACATAATTTATCACACAATTTTTCACAAGAAAGTTACATAATACTGTAATGATTTGATTAAATTTCAGACTATAGTCTAACATTTAAATTTATTCAGTTTATTTCATATAATTATCAATATAATTTCTAAGCCAAAAACACATTTAATATTTTTGATAATCAATTACAATAATTTGTATTTTATTTATATACTGTAATGTGTGAATAATTTCTTTGTTTAGGCATTATAAATCATTGTAATAGTTCAATATTAATGATTTTTGATAATTTCCAATTGTAAAAATTTTAAACAATATTCATGCATTAATTACTTTTATACTTCAATAAAATAATGAATATTTTTCAAAAACTGTTTTATGATGTCTTGTAATATAAAGTCTACATGATAAAAATATACTGGTAATATTCTGGAACAAATTTGTAAGATGTTTTATTAGATTATGAAACAGTATAGAAAGAGAGCTGCATTGTGTATGGGATCATTATATATATTGTGTAGGTATCACATAATAAATAAATGTGTAGCAAGTGTAATTATATGATTATTGTAAAATCTATTTTGAATAAATAGATTATTTGATTATATTTATATATTTATTTTCGAATTTAAAATATATTTCTGTAAAGTAAAGTTTTGATATTTTTAATAAAATTTTTCTGTATGAAATTTAATCATATGTCATAATTCCTTATTTTTAAGACATCATTTATTATAAGACAGTGTAATTATTATTATAAATAATATATTTTACTAAAAATTTCTGAAATATACTATAGAATATCAGCCACCAGAGAATTATGCTTTGTAGCAAAAAATCATATGGATTCTCTTGAAGATAAAATTTGTCAATGTAAGTTTTCTTGTCTTTTATTTTATTTATTATATTTTTGAAATTGTTAAGTTTTTTTTTCTCAGGTGAAGCAACTAGACTTATAATAGAAGAAATTAATAAGAAAAGAGTAAAAGAATATGAGGTATAGCAAATTATTCAAAATCTTATAGTGAGATATTTTGAATATGATACTATCAATTTACATGTAGTTGATTCAAAATATTTTTAAATGAGAATTTGAAATATCTCCAGTTTAATTTTAGATCAGATAAAGTCCTAGTAAATTAGGGTTTGCTCTAATGCCAGAGTTATGATAATTTCATTTCAAATTCAATTTTTAAATATAAAAAAATTCTATTATTCTGAATGATTAATTTATTTCATATAATAGTTTTGCTTTATTATAATACACTAGTGGAAAGCTTAATATATTTATGTAAATAAATTTAAAACTTTTGAACTCTAATTAATCATTAATAAATATTCATTTAAACATTAAGAAAAACAAATTAAATTAATTTTGTTTCCCTTTTTTTGTATGTTTTATGCATAATAAAGTCAGAGGAATACAAAATGCAATTTTTATCTTTATTACTATTATTTAAATGTTATACTGCATTATGTGAGAGTTGATTGTAAAGTAAGCTATTAGTACTTATAAAAGAAAGATAAAATTTTAATAGATTTAAACTGATAATGTACAGTGAAGGTTCTATATTGCTCTTCAGTATATTTTTCATTGTTAAAGTAATTGCCATAGTATTTAAAAAGTTTGCCCATTTCACACACATCCATGAATGTCTGCAGAAGGGAGCAAACATGACATTTGTCCTCCCTAGGATTGAGTAAAAAAATTCCACAAATTATAATCACAAAGGGGATTGAGATATGTAATGTTACATGCTTGATCTACTTGTGAAAAAACCCCCAAAAAATTAAATAATTAAATACAAATTTATTGATGTAATTATTTGTCTCCAAGTTTTGTTCTCCCTGAAAAATTTTCTGCAGACACTCATGAACACATCTTTCTTTTGCATCAGCCCTATTATATAATAGTATCTATATTTGGTGAAACAACACATTTATGCATCCATCCTGATTGACAGATGTGTAATTGTTTCAAAAGACACTTGATTTTTAAACATTTAAAACAAGTTATATTATGAATATATTTTTAATATTTTTTTTTTTTTGTTAAGGATTTATGTGAACAACTTAAAAGTTTTTATCAATATCATGAAGATAATGTAAAAAATTTAAATGAAATGAGTGAGTTATTAAATAAATACATTATTAAAAACATCAAACATCAAATTATATAATTATTTCTATTTTATTTTAGTACAAAATGAAAAGATTGAAAAGGAAAAATTAGTTTCAGAATATAATTCTCAATTGAATGCTGCAGCTAAGGAGGCATAATATTTTGATTTTATTCATTTGATTTTACTTTTTATTAGAATAATAATTTCAGAATATTTAAAATTATTTTATTTAGTTGGAAAGTATAACTGATGCGCTAAAGATGAAAGAAGTTGACAATGAGTTTTTACAAAAGGAAATTTGTAGCTGTAACAATAATATATCAAACATTACAGAAGAAAAAGGTTCAGCTAAGTTATTAGAAATAAATATATTAATTATTGGAAAATAACACTATTTTAACTATAATTTACTGTCTTTATTTAATTAAATATAAAAGCTGTCAATTAAGTTATGACAACAGAAATTTTCTACAAAATAGAATTTTATTAACAAATCATTTATGCATAAATCCATTATATTAAACTTTTTGCCAAATCCTTGGAAGATGCCTTACTCTATTTAGCAAAATTATTTTTCTGGATAGGTCACTCCAACTGTATTAAAGCATTAATGATCTCCTCGTTGTCAAGGAACTGTTTTCTATGTAGAGGTTCTTTAATCTTTACAATCAAATCAAAATTTCAGCAGCTCAGATGAGTAGGGAGATATTTTAGACTTGAGTTGGTACCTTGCTTGAAATTTTTTCAAGAATTGACCCTCCAAAAATAAACAAACAAAGAATAGCTTTAATATAACCACAGAATCAGTACATCTTATGCATAACAAGGGGAAAGAATGAAACAAAAGCTTTACAAATCGTTTGTATTTTCACATTATACTGTACAATCGTATTGGATTAATGACTTCATTATACAATGTATACTGATGTCTAAAATCTGAGATTAACAAGAATAGATCACCTAATCTCCTCAATACAGACCTCCTAGCTATACCTGCAAAAAACTTTGATACAAGGCAGTGAGCATTATCATGCAGAATGATTGACTACTTTGTAGTAGCTTGTCCTACTATGCCATACAGCTGTAGAAAGGTGATAATCTGGAAATATCCCATAGTAATTAGTGTTAACTGTTTATCTACTTAGCACCATGTGAATGATATTTATCAACACATCCATATTAATCATGTGCAACAATCATCATAATCCTGATATTTTCAAGCTCTGTTTTTAACTTTTTTGATTAGAGTGAATCAAAATATCCCTATTCATTTGACTGTCATTTAAGCTTTACTTCATATGACCAGGCTCATGTTTTATCTCTGGCAATAATTTGCTTAAGAGCTGCTGCAACTACAGGAAGCCAGAGCTAGTGTACGCTTGGTTGTGCTCCATAGCACAACCAAGCGTATGCTCCATAGCCTTTTTTCCATAAGGCTAGAAGCCATTTTTTGCTAGGTAAGGTATGCAGGCATGAAACAGCTGCAATCTACACAGCGTAAAAGTGCTGCATTGTGGGAGATTAACAACTAGTGTTGCCACCAGGCCGGTTTTCACCCAGACAAGCCGGTTTATAATTCATTATCTGGATTAATTAGTAATTTGTTCAGTTTTTGTATTTATAGAAATTGTGAAATTATGATGAAACAAAATAAATTTATAAAAATAATGTGCATTGTTCAGTTCTTGGCTGTAAAATGACATTGCACATGCCTTGTATGGTTTCCTACAATGTGAATGCCTTGTGTTAACATCCTTGCTAGCATGCTCTGTCTGTTGAATTCTGTCAACAGCAAGTGTACACTCGTATCACTGCACTAGCAAAGGAATTACCACATGGACGCAAAGAAAGGGAGAGCCTTTGATGTCATTGGGTGTGCTAGTGCACATTTGCTAGAGTTTTGCTCTTGCAAAGCTATAGTTTGCAGCAGCTCTAAGAAAAGAATATCTATTTGAATTTGAGTAGTAGTATATTATTGCCATTTTTTTTTTTTACTTCAATTAAATAATGTGGAACCCAGGAGATGCATCTTCTTCATTTCTAGTTATTTTTTAATAACTGAAACATTTTCATGACAATCATGCCTGTAAAGAAAATTCTTTTGGGTTCATTGTCTGTCTGTAAAAGCAATTCTAAAAAGCAATTTTAGATTATTTATTCTACAATGTTTTCCGGATCAATGCTGATTACATGTGTTATCGTGACCATTTTGGAACTGTTCCTTTTATCTTACAACAGTTATGTAAGTTAGTTTCTGTTTTTCATGTGCTTCCTGCAGTTCCTTAAAACAATCTTTAATTTTTTTAACTTCTACAAAACTTTGCACCATTATGCATGAAAGAGATCAAAGACTGCTTTTGTAAGGTATCAAACTTATTTAATTAGCAAAAATGTTTTGGCTATTTTTGAGCCTTTATCATTTTGTACAGTATTGTGTATGTAAATTTGCTCTTGTCATGCACACTAAGTACACAAAAGTCATAAATACCAACAGTGATGCCCACAGACTATAAGAAAGGGAGGGGACAAAAAAGGGCATTGTACGTACATTAATAAAAATACAGTATGCACACACACACACACACACCCACACACACACACACACACACACACACACACATATATATATATATATATATATATATACATACATACATACAGATATCCCTAGATTAATGCAATTAATTAATCCCTAAATCTACTATGTATATCAAAATTGTGTTAATCAAATACACCTTGGTACTTGACCAAATGAGCAATCACAACCTTCTAGAACAAATTTTCGGTTAATAACAAATATTTTGGGCTGCAATTTAAAAAAGTTGTAGACCTGTAATTTCCCACTGTTATCAGTCTATCTGTCCTTCCTTAATCTTGAGAATGAAGTTAGATAGATGAAAGCTGAGACCAGATACAGAAAGGTTAGGAGCAGAAAGTCCCAATTAACTATACAAAAACTTCCAATACAAACATTATTTCAATTAAAAAATTTTTTCCTGAAAAGAATTAGATAAATGACTGGCA